AAATATATCAGATACATTGCAAATCGAATCGAGGCTGAGTATATCTTGAATATAACAGTCAAACTTCTTCAAGCCGCATTTCAAGGGACAGCCAATAAATTTCGAGTTACGGAGGCTTTTAATTATGGAAACAATCCTTTTTGTGTGGGAAAGATCACAGAAGTGTAGAAAAATGTAAATGATGATATTTTGGACCTTAAATTGATTTTTAAATGAGTTGAGAGAATGCTGAACGTGGAGGCAAGGGCTACTCCTTTATTGCTTTCCATCTTTCCTGTGTCAATTAAATAAGAGCCAAACGGCCACAGAAAATTTGAATTATGGACTTTTTAGAGGAAGAACCTTCAGGTTAGAGAGGTTTTAAATGGATCGCTTCCAGGGGATTCAGATCGGGACTTAAAATAATTATACTTGGGGATAGCGGGGTTCAAATTATCGAGGTTCAGCTGTACTACAGTATGTGTGTACTGTATAAAGTTTTTTTTTCTTTTTCTTCGGACTTGGAAAATTCGATTTAGGTGAGTTATCCAGGTTAAACTGTACAACAGCATGTGTATAATTTTTTTTTTTTTATACTCAGCTGCGGTGGAATACCGGTGCAGCATTGCAGCGAACGCGGCTGTCGACCGCAGCGAAGTGGTGCAAAAGCCCGCGTCGGCGAGATCGCAGAGGAGCCTTTTCCCGCCAGAGGGCGAGCGAGCGCGCGCGCGGGCCCGCAACACAGGTGAAACGAGCCGAGCTTGACCCAAGCTCTTTCGCTAGCGCCCTCCCTCAGCCGTAACTCCACCCACTGGTCTGATTGCAATCCCGACACGGACTACATCCGCGGCTCACCATGCCGACTCCATGGCTGTTCCGTGTCGGATACACTATCCGCGCGTTTTTTTTTCTTCCTCTCTCTTTTTCCCCCGGACCAGAGCATCATTGGTTATGACCGCTGCTTGTTGCGTCGCGGCTGCTCGCGCGTCATTACCTCGTTCTTCCTAATCCTCCGTTCCGGGATTCTCGGCGGCTTTTTTTCGCGCTGGGCTTATTCCAGCTGCGGCCCGAATCCCGATCGCACGCGTTTTCGACGGACTCTTGTGTGCGCTCCCGGTGGACCAGTGAAATTCCGAGTTTTCCGCAGTTTTTCAATCCGGCGACGAACAAGCCCGAGATGCAGTCGCGATACTCGCGGAATCGACGCGGGGCCGATCATCTTTTTTTATTGTTGTTGTTGTGGTCCTTGTTGTTGGACTGCGGTGCAGTGGCGCATTCAAATTTCCTGACCGAGACGTTTTTTGCCATTAGGCCCACGCCGTGTTCGTCGGGTTTTGTTTTCGCAAATTGGTCAGGTCCGTGGAAAGGATTCTGGCGGGGGGAAACGTGAAGACCTTGACGTTGTCTCCAAGATAACCTGGCTTTTCTGCCGAGACGAAAAAAAAAAGAAAAAGGCTGGGACATGGACAGGTAGAAGTCGAGATGATGGGTATCATGACAAAATGCTGGCAAACATGGGGGACTTGCGCTGAACTGAGAGTATTCGCTATCGTGATTCGCCAAAAAATTGCTGGCGACTAGCATGTCACTGGAGTTCTCAAGGTCGCAGGGGTTTTTATATATATTTTTTATACGTGACTCTGATAGTTAGAACCCGAGAGATGTACAGTATTGATCAGCACGATTTGTCGGAAGCGATTTTCTCCGACCCGTCGACTCACGTTTCAATCCAGGGTGAAACCCCGGGGTGTGCGGAGTCGCCTTGATTCGTGAGCTGTTTGGATCCTCAATCCATCATTATCCACGTAAGCCTTCATTCATAACTTGATTCCACCTTGAAACTCTCAGAGAGTTCTACCAAACCTTCTGCCATGAATGTCCCGCAACTTTCCCCGTAATTTTCTAGCGTAATTTAGATTCGAAAGTGTCAAACTTGAAAAAAATGAAACGGACGGACGTATTCATTTCCTGCGAAATTATTTTCAATTTATCTTGTCGACTTGAAATACGAAACTCAGCATACATTTTCATGATTAAATTCGCAACATTTTATCGAAAATCCAAGCCAGTGTTCGTTACACGCGGAGTTTAACCACATGATCGCCGGTTTTACTGCTGTGAGATTATGAGGGGAAGAAGAAACGTGAAATACTGGTATGCGCAAAATTGAGGAATGTAAAAAAAAATATCTCGAAATTCTTTGATTTTCGCTTCGAGGCAAACAGGTTCCTGTCACCAGAAGCAAATGAGAATGCATTCGTATTGCTTATTTTGTAGAGAAAACATGTTTTCAAAGTAATTTAAACTTTTGACAGATTCATTTTTATTTATTTCAGACGGAGAATATTTCTCAAAAGCAAATGAAAACTTCTCATTTATCCCTCTTCTTCTACAGTAATGTAATTGATGATACATTTTTTTCGTCGACAAGATTGAATACCATCGATCGGAAATTAAAGCTTAAAGGGCGCAAAAAATATCCAGAAACATTTTACGAAAGGGACTGATGTCCTAGACATGAGTTGGTCGGAAACCACTTGAGCAACTGTGTATAATGTGTGAGGGTGTGGAAATCTTGAGATAAATGTTCCGATAAAGTACTTGATTTCAAGACCCTCTGGTGCACTCCTTTCGCTACACGAGGGAAAACAAAAGGAAATCAGTGCTTGGTGTTCGGCGTGCGTCGTCGCTGTCGTCGTCGGGGTATTTTCCCCCGGAAAGTAATAAATGAGTGTCGGGGTGTGCGTGAGAGATTTGCATCGCACAGGTGCGGATCGAACCAGTCCAGGAAATCGGGCGGCACGGGGTTTATATTCCCGCGGCAGAAAGTGAAAGAAGAGTTGTGTCTTAAATTCCTGCGTCGATCCCGGCGGACGCGGCAGTTATGCCGTACGGATTCGGGGCTCCGCCGTGAGGCAAACGCACAATATCCGAAAGTCGTGACCGGGAACCCGGGCGTATTACCAACATTTTATTGGTATTGTTTGTGCTCAAAGTCAACTTGAGCACCCTCGAGTTTTATTCCTCCCAGGGCCTCTTTTTTTTTCCTTGACGCGTTTTTATGCGTTTTTTTTTTTGGCTTTCTGTCTTCTAATGACGCATTCTCGCAGCGGCCCGGTTCCCCGTCATTACGCATGATGGAAGAGAAAAAGAACGCGATCGAAGGCGCAAATACCCGTGTGACTTGGGCGCCTTAAAAAAAGTTTTATTGGGCCCTCGTTCAAGCCGAGATGCTCCATTCTTTCCCCACACCCGAACAATCCTCGTGTAGTACCTAATTTCCAGCACCCACCTTGCGAAGCCAATGCTAGTCCGGTTCATTGCCCAGAAAAACCGTGACAACGACTGCTCACAAAACAGCTTAATGATCAATTCTTTTTCGAAAGAGCCTCATTAAATCAACACTGAGAAATCCTTCTTCACAAGTAGCTCTAGTAATCGTGTTTTGTTCAACTATTCGAACTGCGGATCCAAATTGTGTTTTCTTTATTTGATCTATCAACGCATCAAACAGCGAGGTTCTATATTGTACAGTACAGTACTGTATTTTATGAAGTGTCTATTGTCCAAGTGTTGCTTTGTGGCACATAGTTTTTCCTTCCTATCCGTATAAGTTAAAATGTGTCTCTGGTAGTTAGAGGAATATATTTCAATAATTGTCAAGTACCGTCTTGAATATAAAACGATGAATTCTTCGCCTCAAGCATAGTTCATCATTTAGAAAAGTTTTAACCATTTTTTTCAATCTATGGAGACAACAAACGCTGATGGAGTAGACATTTAATGTGCATGCATGCAAGCAAAATTGTGTCTTTACTCTGAATCATTGTGCGAATTGCGCGTTTTTTTTCCAGAATTTTCTTTACCGTGGATCTCACGGGCAGTTGAAATTATCAGCATCCAGAACGCGATACTTTGCAAATGAATGCTATATGATTGACTCGTTGATGCAGTTTTGTGAATTTTTCTTTTCAATTGTGAGTGACAGATGTGGTTTCTATGATAATTTTGAACTGTCCATTATTTTACGTGATGAATCCTCTGAGAGTCCGCTTCATCGTATATAAATCACTTGAAGCGCATTAATTGGTCAAACGTGATTCATCTGAAGGAACATGTTATGAAGTGATGTACGTTGAGCAGCCTCACTCGGTTTTTGTGTTGGTTGTATTCAAGGGTCTCCCCTCGAACACTCACGACAACGTCTCTTCTTTTTGTTACGGACAGAGGCTCGTGATAAAGGTGTTGTGACCGCGAAATTTCAGTGCCCCGGGGGATCGGGTCCGATAGGATCGTCGCGCAGCATCTTATCTGCCTCACAACGGGGAAATCAACGCGGTCGTTTCAGCTATTTTTACTGGGGTGCGAAAAGAAATCCGTCGCGGCACGTGCGCTTATCAGCGAGTAAAACGGCCCCGTTTTTGCCGGCGTGTTGGAAGGGGTCCTAATGACAGTCATTTTCTCGCATCCTACCCGTACTGCGTGGTGTGTGGAAATAAACATCATTCCATCTCCTGGTCGAAACGCCGGAAATGAAACCTTAAGATTCCGCTGAGGGCGGAATCGTGAAACTGCGGAAAACGAACCGAAAATCCGAGATCGCGCTGAAAAGTTTGGTCTCGTTTCTTGAGCAGAGCTCGGAGAAGAAAGGGCCCCTGGGTCGAACCCCGCTTCTACGAGCCCATCTGATGAAACCCCGCAGAATTTTTTCGCTCGTTTCATAATGCTGCTCAGCCCGGTTATGAAACTTTTGCGGAAGAAAAATGCGTGTTCTCCTCGATGTGTATGCAGTCCTAGCGTAATTGTTTTTTGAAAATGTAAGGAAAATCTAAGTCTTTCACTTGAGACTTCTTTCGAACATCGAAGGAGTACCGCATTTTATGTTCATATTGCATGAGAAAATATCCGATTGGAGTACTGCGCCGTATTCTCTTCGAGCTTCAACTATGGTCGTCTGAAAACAATTTCAAGCCTATTATTTTCATTTTTACGGCGAATCCGTCGAGCAGTCATTCAGCTTCATGGATCTGTGCCTTTTGTTCGACATCCGCGTTCATTGGATCCCGTGTTTGTCCGCAAGGAATTTCAGACCAGTGCTTCACGTACCACCGACAGTACCTTTGCACCTGGTAGGTTGTTCTCACATGTGCAGAATATTCCAGAAATCAACAATGTAAGTTTCATCCATTCTCAAGTCCCTGATGAAAATTCAGAAATATTGTCATTTCTATGCGTGGTACGGTCAGTTGAAAGGCTGGAAAGCTCAGGTGTGGAGTATTACTCATTACGAGCAGACTTCATTAATTTTTCGCACAATTATCCTTATACAGTACTGTACTCCCACCGACCTCATAATCATTCGGAGATCAAAATGCTGACTGAATTATTCATCAACTAAATCACTTATCAAACTCATTGCAAAAGGGTAAATTGGCATCGAATTTGAAGGAGGGGAACGGTTTACGAGAATGCGCAGAAGGACCGGATTAGAAAAGAGGTATGAGACTTTCTTTCAATGTGTGAAGAAGCTTGAGGGCAAATAAGCGTGAACCCCTTGAAACCATTTTATCATGCGTTTGTCAAGCCCATTAGTTCAGACATGAATCGATGACTTTAAAGAGTTTAAACGAACAGCTTCAGGATCTTGGGTCCCTAAAAGTGTTGCTCGCGCGTGAAACGAAGCATTAAAAACTGAGGAGTAGAACCTGCGCGTATAGGCCATGAGTTAGGAATGCAGTAATGGTTTTGTAAATAAAAGTAAATGAGTGCAAAAAATATCCTTGAGGGCTCCTCCAGAGAAATTGATTCCCGAAAGGGATTCTTACCTGAGGAATTCCGAGAACCAATGGCAGTACCAACTCCGATGCTTTACTACTGGAAACTAATTTCTGATTTGGATTACCAACGGTTAGAGCAAATCTATGCGATGACACCTCGGAATTAGGCCAGAAACCGAGTGATGCACCTTCTGCGCAGAAAATCGATGAATGTTTGAATGAAAAGTCACCGAGTCTCTTCCGCTGAATGAATGTCAGTTGTATCGCATTCAGGGGAAAGAAGCTGCGCGTCACACTTGTTTCAGCTCTCAGAGTTCGGCGTGCAAGCCGAAGATTCGCGAGAGCGGGAAACGGGTCACAATCCCCCCGAGTGCTTTCCCGAGGACTTGGTGTCGCGGGCCCGCGTGTCCCGGGTTCCCAGTTTTTGCCCAGTGTCCGGTGCGCGTGCGCAGTGCGCGAGTATGTGCAGTGACTGAAACACGATGGCAATGACGAGTGGGTCGAGTGCGGACGAAAACCTCGCGGCGGCAGTGACGCGCTGGTACCATCACCAGGGCGCCGATGGTGGCAGTCCGAATGACAGGGTGCCGACGGCGGCGGACGCCATGCAGAGCCAGCATTCGCCGGCTACCGGCGCCCAACAGGGCCTCATCGGTGACGGACACCACGGACAGGCCCAGGCCCAGGGTCACCACCAGCACCCTGATGGCGCCGTGTTCTTCCCGGGCGTCGACGGCTCCGACGGCGCTGTCAGTCGCGCCCGCTACTACGCCGCTCAGGCCATGCATTCCGCCTACAACTCCGCCCATCATGGTTCGTAACTCATAAGACTTCCATTTTTTTTTCAATCAGTAACTCACAAGACTTCCATTTTATTCCAATCAAATTCCAATCCAATTTTTAACATTTTATTTCTCTTATATGAATGTCATAATAGTGTGTTGGTGGCGCAAAACAGTCATGCCATTCCTGCGAAAATCAAAATTCTTTCGTCGGTCGATGCCGCTTTTTATCTCAGAATCCCTTATCGTACCCAAAAGACTCTAGTACTTTAATTGATAATTTCAAGTACCGAATGGTATAAAGGATTGTCAACAAATAATTGATGATACGGGATATTTCAATAACAAGTAATGCAGGTATGATGTGTCGAACCAACGCGAAGGTCCAAATATTTTTGTGAAAATTCCCGGGTTTCGTTTCAAACATATTCTTCGGTAATTGAAAAAAAATCGAATAAGGCAATCAATTGAATTTAAGGATTACTTTTTTTGAAAACCTGGCACTTGAAAAATTAGGATGCCTGTTCACCTTAAATGCGGAGTGACTTAGGCTCGATGGATTCCAAATTCATTGGCCGAGTGAATTAGGTAAAAATTACGTTTCAATTTCAATTAATCGAATTGAATTTGCAACTTGAAGTTCAAGGGCACGGAATCGAAAACCCTGAAGGGGATTAAGCCCGAAACTAATGCTTCAGTAAAACAGACGGAACCATCCAACTTCTTAAGAAGCTGAATGGAACGAGCGCAGTTATTGTATTCGCAAGAAATTTTTTCTGTTTTACGAAAAAGATGGCTTCTAATGTCGTGCTTATTATCATGGATGGCGTCTCATACTCAAATTAAAACAGTCACCGTTAACCTCATGTCAATCTGTGAAACTTTTGAAATCGATGACCGTTATATGTGAAAAAGTTTCAAAAACGGATTATAAACCGCAAAAATGTGAGTTCAAGGTTGCCGTTTGTTTGGAAAGAGCGGACGATGAATCAACAATTATTCATTGTCACTGGTGAACGTTTACACGAGTCCTCCAGAATCTCTCGGTCGACTGCTCAAACGTATTGAATACAATATTTCCGTCTGCGCAATTGTTTCATTGTCTTCCAAGAATTTTTTTTTTAGTCTGAAATACGTTTTTTACTTCTTGAAAATTGAAGCCTACATGGTTTTTCCTGGAAAAATGAGCACGATGGCTGAATTTTTCCAGCCATACACTTTTCAGCACCGTTTTGCTATGGTTTACTAAATAATCGCTAGAAATGGTATGGATAATTTTTTAGCAGGACGAGGCGCAGGATTCTCGCGAATCATGAGGAGACACAAATGGGTGAATATATGCCCCGCACATTCTATGCGAATTTTTTACTTGCGAAGAGTCAACCGTAGCGTCGTAATTCCCAAGAAAGGTTTCCACGATAATTACCTCGCTTAATTTGAGAGACTGTAATTCGTAAGCGGTGCCTTAAGTCGGATCAGTAAACAAACGTGAAAATGCTCAGTCGTGATCCAGAAATCACATTAATCGATTGGAGAACTGGACTGGACTCCCGCTTATGTAGTGACGCAACTAATCCTGGGATAGGTTTCTTCAGAACCTCGAGGTTTATCGTCTTCCCGAATCGGCAAACTAACCATGGCAATAATAAGTTATTGCCCCCTTAATTAACTAGAGAACGGATTCGTTTCTCCCTGGGTTGGTATCAAGGTTCTCGAAGCGGAACAATCAGGAGATCGTCGGGTGGTACACGCTCTAAATACTGCCTACTAAAAGAATCGATTCATAAAAGCGTCGACTTGATAGTTCTTACGTATATTTGTAGCTCGTACTTCGCTACTCCTCTCATTAGGAGAAACACGAGTGATATAGTACTAATTGGCCACGGAATGATCCGTTGACACTTCGTCCGCGACGACGAAGCGGTTCTTCGTCACAGCTTCGCCATGTCTGTCGAACCCAACTGCGAAATGCAGACAAGATCTTTGCAATGAAGGGATTTATACCACTATAGCATTTTCTATCCGGCAATTTTCCGTTCTGGACTTCCGAAATTCTCGGCATTTCCATGGTTAATTATCACTTCCATTTAATAGCTTTCGCGGAATTTTAATTTGAAATGAAACGCTTCTTAACTTTGATGTGGTTCGTTGTGTCCCTTCGATCGTCAACTCGATAAAAATAAATGGGTTCACGCGTTCAGTGAGCAAAACTTTATTTTTTCAGGGATTTTTTTTAGAAGATATATTCTGTATATCATTCGCCTAATTACAATTTTGAAAGGGGACTTCTGATGAGCCCCATGGAAAAAAAAATTGTCCATTTCTTGGAGATTTTTCCGATTTTTTTTTAGATCTGATACAATATGTAATGCAGGGCACATTTATGAAACGGGGGTGCGACTTACACCTAAATATTTTCAGTAATAAGGCCGCGCTCGAGCTTACGGGTGCATTTGGGGTGGAAATGCGATCCGTAATTTATTGAATGGAGTAAACCGAGTTTGAAATTAGTTTTGAAAATTTGTGATCTTTGCGTCGATGTTTGGCGTTCATGGCAAGCTTGTGACAACGAATGTTTAACAGCTAACAGAGACTATGAGAATGTCTTCTGAAGTATATCGTGAGCATTGATGGAACATCTCCAACAGTAAGAAAATTCTCTTAATCTAAAATCTTATTTTTGAATACATTTGCTCGAAATAACTTGGTAACTGCGTGATCAAAGCCTGCATCGGAATAAGAGATTATCTATTTTTCTGCGAAATGTATTTTCAGAAGCATAATCGAACATGGAAGATTTTACCCTGCCTGAAAAACAAACGCGGGGTGATTTTTGCGAGCTTGTCCGATCTTGTCTCCATGGAAACCGGGGAAAATGAAGGGGGGATATAATTGTGTGTCAGGAAAAATTTTTCACGGAAAACCCGGAGAAACCGCTCGTCAAGTCTGACCTCGTTCGTATCTCTTTTTATTGTTGACGGGACGACAACGGGGCCTCTGGAGCCGTGAACGGAATAGGACAACAAACACTGGCAGGCAGAACACGACGGGTTGATAGGTTCTCCTCGGCCGGTACAATTCGTATTTCAGTTTTTTTTTTTTCGCCCCCGCCGTAAAAACGCAAGCGCCCTTGTTTTATTGAGCACACTGTGCCTTTGTCCGATGCGGTCTTCTTCCCCGGACAATTGTAGCCAATTACGGTAACGAGCCGTCATTTCCTATGCCAATAGACAGAAGTTGTGGAAAAAGGAATCGCGTACTGGGGGGAACAAAGTGAGTTCGCGTGCGACTGCGACACGGTTGCCCCTGTCGCTTCTGCTTCGAGATAAGGGATGAGGTCGTTGTGTCCACGTCTGAATCGCAGTGTTTCCGCAAGCATCTCGTATGCTTGCGACGAACGTGTAAGGTACTTGATAATGCTGACAAATTTTCGACAAAATTGAAGTACGTGCTGTAGGCCGCATAAGGTTGTAAACTCCGCCACGCCTTTTTCCGTTGAGAATCCGGCTCTCAAAGTTATGAAATGGCTCGCTGAATCTCTTCTCTTTTTATGAACAACTTTTTGCAAATAATGCGTTAATAATTAAATATCATATAATGGAACCCTGTTTCATATTCTTAAAAAACCACTCCCAATGTTGAACAGGCGAAAGAGCTGAATACAATATATTGTTTTCAGCCACCATGTCTCCAAAGAAAGTCTGCGGAGCATGTGATCTCAAAAGCTTCTAAGCACGCTGTAACCAAATTTATTGAGTCATGGTTTTATATTTTGTTGGCTCCGTATCACACCTACGGAACGTTTATCTAGATTCCCTAATGAGGAACTTCGATTTCTTTTCAAATAATATTGTATGTAGCAGTCATTGCGTTGCTCCAGAAGAAGGTGTAACTTGCCGTTTCACACATCAGTGCTATTGATGCCCGTGGGAAACAAAGGTAGACATCGTAGGTGCACTTAACATGTAAAGACACATTTTTAATTTTCAAAATTGCGATGGGTCATTTTCCAGGGAATGTCGTAGTAAATTAGGCTTTACGAACAATCGTCCGCGTGCCACTGATTGCACATTCCAGACAGAATGTGGATTTCTTGCTTAATTATGAAACGAAAGTTTAAAGAATTAAACGTAAACCAAAAACTTAGGGGCAAATTAAACTAGCTGAAAAACGGAATGAGTGAAAAGTATAGTATAGAGTACTGTATACTATAGAAAATGAATAAAAGGTGAACTATGTCAAGGAATGAACGTATTCGTAACTGTAGTTGAAGTCCCAAGGATATGACAGACCTTGCACAGGTGGTTCTTGGGTACAGTACTTACAGGCGATGATACGTGAACATTCAACCCATCTTGAAGGTGTTACGAATTACAGGAATGATGAAAAACGTAATCAAAACTACTCTTCAAACTCCAATGTGTCGAGGAAAATTGCAGTGGTTAACTCAAGGACGGAAAAACGACGAGAAAAAAAACAACTTGATGAAATACTATCTGCTATCATTGATTAATTTCAAAAAATCATCGAAAACACATGGCGTATATCGCAGACAATTTATTTTTACGAGGCCCCGAGGGTTCGCGATGAGAGGAAAACTGGACTCTCTCCCCACTGAGAATGTATATCATTCTCTCCAGACCAGCTTATCAAAAAGGGTTGCTGGAAATTTTCGAAAAAAGTCAGATAGACCTGACGACCGCAAGGTTTTGCGTGACTAACTACAAATCACTTCGAACGATTCATGGAAATAACTCGGGAAACTTCGTACGAACTCCGTAAAATTTTCAAGAGAGCAACTTGCACATATTACTGTACAGTACTGTATATGAATATTTTGTTCGATTATGCGTGGGATCATACGAATGCACTTTATTAAATAAAATTAAAAATAATTGGAAAGAACATGTAGTGGGCTTCAGTTGGACAATAGGTTTTATTCAATGTCAAGCTTGAATCCCTCAGTTGTGGGATTGTTGTTTTTCTTCCATCCCATGCATTGGTCTCACTAAATGAATAGACGGGATCTGTTCGGTGAATCGAGTGACACGGCATTCATTTTCGTTGTTGTTCTCTTGGGGTCGTTCCGCAGGGCACATGAGCAGCGTGAGCAGCGGGCAGAACACAATGTGCAGACCGCACTTCCCGCCGCCGCTGCATCCGTGGTTCCCGAACGCTTCAGAGGCAGCTGCGAAGCCGTTGCCGACGTGGGCGCCGTTCGCGTCGCAGACCGGCGACCAAGAAGGCGAACGCAGCCCCGTGAACGCCGCCGCTCCCGTGGCGCATTCTAGTCCTCCCCAGCAAATGTTCTCGTTCCCGCCGACGCCACCGAAGGACTCGTCGACGCCGGAGACTGTGACGCCGAGCACGTCCGGCGCGGTAGCCGCCTCCGCGCCGCCAGTCAACAGTTCCAGCGCCATGGGCGCTGGCGACTACCTGGGCATGAACAACTCGGCTGGTGGCAGCAGCAGCACCAGCGAAGAGTCGGAGGACGTGAAGCCACCTTTGATGGCGTCTTTCCGGGACGGTAGTGGTAACAATTGTGGTGGTGGTAGTGGTGGCGGAAGTGGTGACGCGGCCGCTGCGGCCGCAGCTTCCGCCGCGGCCGGTGGTCGTCAGTACTCGGGCGGGGTCATGGGCAACCCTTACTCGTCGCACTATCCACAGACCATGGCGTCCATGCAAGCTGCCGCCGTTGTGGACCACTTCGCCACCGGCTACAGCAACTTCACGCACGCCTCTTCCTATCTCCCAACCTCCAAACCCGGCTCCGCGTCCGGCCAGCCCAAGAGCCGCGTCAAGTCTCGCTCCAGTTCCGGTAATTTATCTTCTGATTATATTTACTTTAATCCCTGTGTTGAGGTGCACAAAGAAAATAATGATCCCGCCGCCGTGTGCATCACCAGGCCCCATAGTCGTAAACATAGCGCCGGCGAGGAGAATTACCGCGCAATCCCGTATGCCACTCATTCCTCGTGATTTATCGCCTATGCAGGGCAAAAAGTAAACGAAAGGCCGCCGAAATGCCGGCCATTTTTCCCCAGCAGATAGTCAAGGTTCTTGGGCTTGTGTCGCCACATCCGCCGTAATCTCATTCTAATAATCAAATAACGGATACGAGCTAAGTTTTATTCTTCCATCAAAGCAGCTGCTGATACGCTTTGCGATGGATTCGTTGCTCACACATAAATTCTTCTGATGATGTTTCTATTCACAAAGAAACGGTTTCTCGGAACGAATAATTGAGTCGTTATCTGGGAAGAAATTTTCGCTGGAAAGAAACATAAAGAACAACTCGATTCGATATGGACCCAAGTCCTACAACTTTTGCCGGTGATAAATGACCGGGTACCATTGCGGCGGTTCTGCGCTAGCAGTGATGAATATTTTCGTTCAAGTTGACAGCATATCATGAACGGAAATGAGGGACACAAGGGTAGATATGTGGTTCCAGGCTGCCAATAAGCGGCCATGTGTCGGGAAGAGGGAGGGGGGTTTGTCTCCCGAATTTATATTTGGTAGGGAGAAACTCTCAAGGGGGGGGGGGGGGCGCACAATTAATACGAACCCTCATTTCCGTCAACTTACGCTCCACAATTAGAAACCAGCAAACATGGCGCATCCCTGTCACCGAATTCCTGCTCCTCATTCGTCTACCCCACTGAGTCGACGCTTAAAGCAACTGCTGGCGTGATCCAGTTCATCCGAGTCGCGCATGCAAGTCCTATTTGCAGGCATCTCGGGGACGCGTGATTGATCCTTGGGCTTATGGGCACTGAGAAGGAGCAGCTATCTGACCAGATGATCTGAAGTGCATCGTCATAGGCCCTGAGTACTTTGACTGAGGGGCCTTGAAAATCGGTCCCCTTGTTATTCGTCTTTGTCGCTTTCGCGCCTGCGAGCAGGTTGCGACGAATAACAGTGCTCGCTGGGCGCCTAATTGCCACGCCACGGTCTTGACCAGTCATTGACGCAACTTTGCTGAGCCCGTGGAACCTAAAAGCATTTCGAATTTCAGCTAACGAGGTCCCGTCCATGCACAGTATAATATAATCCAACCCATATTCCGCGCATATTTATTGATTTCAAGAGCCACCTACTTTATCGATTTCTGTCAAGACTATATAGACAAGCCTGGAAAAATCAGAATTACGGCTCTCGAGTCTGATGAAAAGCACCAAGATGGCTGCCCATAGACCGATTTATTTTTCTTACCAACACAAACTCGTCATTTTGTCGTATGAGCGCGACTTTCTGTGCGATCGATGCTTTCCTGCAAACAACTGCGAAATGTTGGATTATAATGCAAGTTTGAACTTACTTGTTTTTGAACCTTGAGGCTTAGGCTCTGAGTCACAAATTCTTCATACCCGAACCTGCCGAGCATGACAATTCTTTCCCCTGGGACGGACAATGAAAAAGACGCGACTCCGAAGCTATGAGTTACAAGCAGCACATGTAAACTACTTAACAATACTTGTTCCACCAAGAAAGAAAAAAAAGCTGCCGTTCAGATATGGAAGAGAAAGATATAAAAATAAAAATGTGCATCACCTATAAACATTTTGCATGATTTAATGCTCGAAACTTTTTCTATAAGTGAAAAAGTCTGTTTTGCCGACGCTAAAACTTTAGTTGCTTACGGCCATGCGAGTATGCTGTGTTGCAGCATTAATTGCGCAATAAGAGTCGCTTGTCTCACACTCCTCGCTTACTACAGTGTTTTTACTTCGTTCAGTTTAGCATGCTGTCACATCTAGAAGACAATTTCATTTTTTTCCTGAAACTTTTACAGAAACATTTTGGAAAATTAGCAGTAAAAAATTTACAGCCGAGACTCTCACGTGGAATTCACTCGAAAAAGATTATACAGCTAGATTAAAATGCACTCTAAAGAACTTCTTATCGCATAATGTTCATACAACGTTTTGATTTCATGTGACTCGAAATTAATATGTGCCCTCGATTTTCTCATAAATTGTCAATAACTTTGCTCTATACAAATATACTGTACACATGTGCATGTATACACTCAGAAATGCACACATGCACACACCACGTCAAGTGGAATTGAAGTTTGTAAAAATTATGTCGGTGACATGTAATCCGACTGAGGAAAGCTGCACTTGAATTTATTCCTGTCTTCTACCGATTCCTGCATTTATTCGATGCATAAATTCATTACGTTTCGATCGTTTAACTTGTTTTTTGCAGAGGGGCGAGAATGCGTGAATTGCGGAGCGACGTCGACGCCACTGTGGAGACGGGATGGAACCGGGCATTACTTGTGCAATGCTTGCGGGTTGTATCACAAGATGAACGGACAGAACCGACCGTTGATTCGACCCAAGCGACGACCGGTGAGTAAAATTTTTGCAGATTTTGCGTTTTGCGAAACTGAGCAGCACGCGAACTAATATCGTCAGGGCTCAACTCATGCCTGAGTCAGTTGAGGTGTAAGTCGGGCTCGTTATTTAGTTCTGATCAGCCATTGACTTCGAAGTGTGAAGCGTCACGCACAAAATCGCTCAGTTTCGAAAGGCAGGAAAGAATTTCTACTGCCTGCATTGAATACGAATTCACTGGTTAGCAACAAATTAAACTAGGGCGGAAGGGCTGGAAAAACGCGTTCGATAAAAGTGAACTGATCAAATAAAAGTGAAGTGGTCAAGAATGGATCAATTTTGAACTTTCGCAAGTCCCTCTATTACAGTTCGCTTGAGATTCTGTACTCGTTCATGCGGATTTTTCCCGCAGATTGCGGTGACGTATCACCGAGAACTCTCCATAGATACCGTATACTGTAGTTTGGGATTCAGAATGCAACAGAAAAATTAATTACTACTCCTGTATTTCGACTGGCAAAAACTTATCTACAGTATCAAACTCATCCAGGTACGGAAGATTCGCTGAGGAAAGATCTGTCTGCTTTTTGACAGACGAGCCAAACAATTCTGCTGCGCGACAGAAGGCGTGGCGTGAATTGCGATTTGAATCTTTTTGTGGTGTATTTCATCGTCAAATTTTTTTGACTGTATCTTTTCAATACATAAATGCGAACGCCAGATTACCAAATTCCATCAGTCATTTTATGTCGAATTAAAGACATGGTCGATGTATCGTAATTTTGTACTGCATTTCTAATTCCACTTTAATTCGTCTCCACTTCAATGTGCTTCATCCGTGTTTTCAATAACTCATGTCCCACATTTAAACTTTTTGCAACTCATGCACCACTCATTCAGAAGTCTTCTGTCCTGGGAAGATCTCGTACTCCGAACCAACAGTTGGAAAGCTCAATTCAATCCGGAATATCTTTCGCGTGCTCAGTTGGGCTGATCGGCTTGAGAAGCAGAAATGGGATTTGCGAAAAATTCGTGAAACTCTGGATTTTGGGTTCAAGTAGGAATGTTCAAGTAGTGAGGATCGATGTGCTGTTGGATGAAGCCCGGAGCCGAGCGACGAGCATGCGCAGCGCGTCCGAGCGAGCGAAAGCCAGGGATGCTGATGCATCAAAATCTGCCCGGAACCCGCGGCGATGCATCAAACTGTTTTCCCCTGTCTTTTCTTTCCTTTTTCCTCGTCGATCCGCGCCTCATTATGCGTCCGGCTCCGCTTCCGTAATCCCCCCAAAACTTGAAGTTTTTATTTTTCATTTTATTCATTTTTTTTAAACTTGGTCCTCCACTGGATTTGGAAAGCTGCGACGCGCGCACGTGACGACTGCCGGGCCGAAATTCTCAGGCTCCGAAATGTTCCCATTCTCGTTTAATAGTCGTTCATAGGGCCAAATACATACAAACTGCCCCCCCCCGTCCCATTGCATTTGTGATGATTTTTTTAGGACTCACTAACAAAGAGGAAAACTTGAGCATGAAGTCCGACCCCTTTTCGTCATGGATTAATTATTAAAAATGGTCAGATTATCCGGACTCTCATCGCACCCGGATTTTTATCCATCCAAAGGATACGAAGAAACCTGCAAACCTATTCTTTTAACTGGCGGTTTTCTCCCCAGCTAATTCACTGTTTGTTTGACCTCACCAACTTGAAAGTGGGTGGGGATCTCTGTAAAAATAAATAATGTGGGACAAGTGTCCTTCTGAATGCAATTTGAAGGTCCCTCTATTTAGTCGATTATAACCACCATGATATTTTAGTACTGTATCAATAAAATGTATATTCATAATAACAAACGTTGTTTCCAAGCCCGAGTGTATCTTTTTTTTATGCCGATATTCTTAATAATTCAACTTGTGATTATCAGACGCTTTCATTTTTGTATTTTCAGACGAGTCTTGATTCATCATCTAGGGTAATACAATACTTTATCTTTGCCATCAATCTTTTTTTGTCACATTTTCTGTTATACTCAATGCATTTGACGAAACTATTGCCGCAGTCGAAGGAGAATGAAGCAGAGGTGATTCTTGGTAAGAAGTCCTTCTAATTAAATGGGCTTGTTTTACCTATTACTGCTCATCCTTGCTGTCTGCAGACATTTTTGCTTTTTATTTTTCTATCATGATATTGTATTGAGGATATATACGTGGTACATTTGTTGCATTTGAGACTTAATTTTCAACTGTTTGCGTTGATTGGAAGTGTTCACTCCCAATGAAGAAAATGAAGCAATTTTATGATGTCACCGAATGTGAGAGGCATACAAGACCCACCCTGATTTCCCACAGCCGATGTTCGCCCGAATCCCCCCCCCCCCCCCCCCCCCAGCTAATTCACTGTTTGTTTGACCTCACCAACGTTAAAGTGGGTGGGGATCTCTGTAAAAATAAATAATGTGAGCCAAGTGTCCTTCTGAATGCAATTTGAAGGTCCCTCTATTATAACCACCATGATATTTTAGTACTGTATCAATAAAATGTATTTTCATAATAACAAACGTTGTTTCCAAGCCCAAGTGTATCTTTTTTTTATGCCGAGATTCTTAATAATTCAACTTGTGATTATCAGACGCTTTCATCTTCGTATTTTCAGACGAGTCTTGATTCCTCATCTAGGGTAATTCTTTATCTTTGTCATCAATCGTTTTTTGTGTGTCACATTTTCTGTTATACTCAATGCATTTGACGAAAATATTGCCGCAGTCGAAGGAGAATGAAGCAGAGGTGATTCTTGGTAAGAAGACTCCTAATTAAATGGGCTTGTTTTACCTATTACTGCTCATCCTTGCTGTCTGCAGACATTTTAGCTTTTTATTTGTCTATCATGATATTGTATTGAGGATATATACGTGGTACATTTGTTGCATTTGAGACTTAATTTTCAACTGTTTGCGTTGATTGGAAGTGTTCACTCCCAATGAAGAAAATGAAGGCTTCAGCAATTTTATGATGTCACCGAATGTGAGAGGCATACAAGACCCACCCTGATTTCCCACAGCCGATGTTCGCCCGAAAAAAAAACCGTCTTATAAATCGGTATACGAGTTTCAGTATTGTATTCGGGAAGAGCGCTGGTTCATTTCATTGTGGCATTCATAGAATCAACGATGAGGTGAATCCATATTTTGGGCGAATAAGCTAGTTGAGCTCCCGCGCCCACTTTTTTCCAATTCCGAACATTGTCTTGTTCCTGAAAGGGTTTTCCCTGAACCAAGTAGAACCCAGGTCCGCCCATCACTGCAAACGTATAAGCGGAAAGAATTATGCACGCAGCTGCGGAAATTATAGTTTTTTTTTCACCAACTTGGTGGTACTTGGAGAGAGACATTCTTCATAACGAGTGCAGCGCATGCAGAAATCCTGAGTGAGGAAATATATCTTGGGTAAGCACTTCCCGATACGTTCTTGCCACAGATTCCCAGCGATATCGGCATGGGGGGATAGAACCTGCTGTAGAATTTCTTACCGGGGGTGGTGAGCGTTCCCATTCCCTCCTTGACGCGAGTTCAGCATAGACTAAGGCACCAGCCACTGGGTAGGGCAGGTCGTTTAGTGACCGTAGCTTCTGCGAAGAGAGAAGAGCGCCTCGGAACACCTGCAGCGAACCAGATTGAAAGTGCGATGCGGATTTCCCACATATGGGCATTTGCATGACGCCGGGGCCGAAGCATTTCCGCGCGCACGGCTCGTGACGTGGCAAAAGTGCACTTCGGAGAGATCCGCGTCATGGATCTCCAGCGGGCGTTCCAGGGAACCGTGCGGGAATGAGCCTTTTTTCCTCCGTCGGCATTCCTTCATCCGTCCACTCACTGAATCCAATCCGCTTCAATTATGTGCCGCTTCATCACGGCTAACGACGCTGTGCATTACTCTTGCCGGACTAAGCAGCTTTCCTCCGCTGTGAACCCGCAGCCCGGGCTTGCTCCAGTTGGCACGGACGGAGACGGAGCCTCCGGAAATGATTCACCGTTCGGCGAATGAGCCTCAAAATGTAACGCGGTTTACATGAACCTCCCACTTCCGAGAAACTGTACAATACCGTCTTGACGTAGTTGCAGGCCAACATTGCTCCTAAAAATAAGTGCCTCCAAAGTCAAAACTTGCTGACTTTACGGAAGATTTTAAAGCATAGCCCAAACCCACACCCGCTTATGGATACGCGTGCGACAATCATTCCAACATGAGCAAGATCATGGTCTAATATTCCCTGCCCTTAATTAAGATTATACTGCGCTTGAAAACAATTTATAATAAGAGCTCAGAAAATAGAACAGGGTAAATTGCTTAAAAGGCCCATTTTCTCAAGGATCATAATTTTTCCGCGTTTTCAATTTTTCCGTCCGAAGTTTCGCTCATAGTCGCGTGCCGCCCATCATCGGCTAAACAAGCAACGTCTGAAGTCTAAACAAGATGTATTACAAACTTATCCAGCAAATAAAAAATTAATTGGGCGAATGTCGAAGCACGTGAAATACATCGCGAAAACAAAAGAATACAGATGGTCTCTCTCCACAACGAAATTCAGGAGACCAGAAAAAATTGTGTTGATGAGAGAATTTCGTTGTAGATAGCCCGTATAACATGGGGAGAAAACCGAAATGGACCAAAGAAAAATTCCTTATGCAGAGAAAATCGTTGTAGACAAGATCGTCGTAGGGAGAGTCCACCTGTATTCTGAGTATGTGTGCGGGAACTTTCGGTGCTTTTCTGCTCGAGAAGCTTCAAGACCAATCCAAGCAAAACAGAAGCATCCAAGAGTATCATTTCACCATCCAAAATGTCATTCAACAGAATTCAATGAAAGTTGCTTTCGATATCCATCCCAACTGGTAGGATGAAGTTTGAAGGGAATAACAGTGGCCACTTTTATTGATACAATAAAGGACCTTCGGGGAAAGGTTAATCTGAGAAGTATGCCCCAAATTTGGCACACACAAAAGCCGTCGCGTGAATTTTCATTTTTCACTTGTGTACTTACGACTCAATGTAGTGTTCGAAACTTGTCGCATCGAAAACTTCTTCACCCAGGCTTGCCCTACGAGTTTTTGAGGCATTTCTTTTGGAATTACTCCTCGTTTTGCGTCCTTTTGTCCTAGTTTATTTTCTTTTCCGAGTCGAAGCATTTCCGGAAAATGGCTTTTCTGAAGAAATCTTGATCATAACTCTTTTGCAATAATTATTTTTTTAGACATCGGCGAGGCGAGCGGGAACAAACTGCGCCAACTGCAAAACCTCGACTACGACTCTGTGGCGTCGGAACCACAACGGAGAGCCGGTCTGCAACGCCTGTGGTCTCTACTACAAGCTACACAACGTGAGTACCATTCGAGAAAAGAATCCTCTTTTGTCAAGCAAGCATCAGCGAGACGATTCCATGTTTTCGGATGGGCTCGCATTCCGCCGGGGGAATTCTAGTTCGCAGCACTTGTGTCTGTCATGAGCATTACATCGTCTCCCGAATACCGAATGGGATATACGATGGCCATGCCCCTTGTTTTCCGAGTCCTCTGGGCGTGGGCTATTCAAATCAGCTAACAGTTTCGTTTTTCATTTGCTTCTAAATTTCCGAAAGATAAGGAGCATGCATAATTTTTCAGTAAACGCAAGCAAGTTGATACAGTGACTCCGGTGCTTGAACGTATGCGCTTTTTCTTTGCATTCGAGCTCTGTTCACTGTTTATTCAGATCCTAACCGACATAGCGGAGAATTTGGAAACTCGTATGCAGTAGAACTCTGATTATCCGGGCTATGATCAATTAGATATTCAATTAACCGCACCCCGATGTCAATTCAGCTAGAGGAAGTAAAGCAGCATGTGGACATTTTTCAAGTTCAACGAGGAAGTTAATTTCCTTTTGATCATCTAATGGTCCCAGCTAATCCGCTACGAGATTTACGGAAATTTCCGTAATATCATGTCAGGTCAGTCTTGATTCCTTGACCCTGGATTCCGGCCATTAGCCCGGATGATCGGATCTCTAGTCTCATGCAAGTATGCAACACACGCGAATGGTGAAGAATCATGATGAAGTTATGTTTTTGGAGATGATTAACTCATCGTCGGGTTATCATGATAATAACGGATTGATTACATTTTTTAATGACGGTCCATTTTCCGAATGAAAGCGGGGGAAGCCACAATGTACTGCACTCGGGAAGATGATTTTACACCGTGAAAATCTGGTTTTTGTCGTTTGTGTAGGCCGGGAAATGAGGGGAGAATTCCCAGCTTTTCGAGCTGAGTGGGCGCAATTACCCTTGAAAAGCGGTCGGGAGGCGTCGGTGTAGGAATGAGACAGTTCATCAGTGGCAAAGAGGCTCACGCTGGGCCAGCTACCACCGCCCGGTTTGCATTTATATGCGAAACGTTATCACGTGGGCCGCGCAATTCCCAGTCGTTCTTCTTTTGGGTTCGTTTGTGAGGCGAGCTGAGCGTCGCTGACTCAGCACTTTTTCCGCAGCCCCAGGCCGAATGAGTTTCCCCGGAGATACCCGCTGATTCCCTCGACGGCGGTCCCCCGCGTTCCCGCGAATTGCACTCCTTTTGTCTCGCCGGCTCCTCGGAAGAGTCCCTGAGGATACCGCGGATCCCTTTCTTTTACCCACGTCAGTTGAACGCTTCCTGTCGAAATGAACGAGTTCAGATAACGGAGTCGATGGCGGTAAAAATCATCCCAGCATTCGAATCCCGCGCAACCAACTGCTCGGCGGAAAATACTCGTGTCAAAAACAAGTACCCCCGAATGTCCGTTTTGCTGCAAATCCTTCGATAGAAATACGAGACACAGCAGAAGGATCCTGGCATCGCTCTCTAATTCAGAAATCTGCACATGTGAGGAGCAAGCATGCTAAAAAAAATACATTGAAGCGAGTTTCAAAATAGAAATTTCAAAGCAGCAAGTCTCAAATATTTTGGCCAGCCTCGACGTTACGTGGTTAGGTTAGGTTCCTGTATTATACAGATCTTTTGATGCTTTCTCATTTCATGCTCAATTTTTGTGATGTACCCCTTGATTAAGCCAGAAATTTTGAAGCTTTAAAATGTCTCCGTGTTGAATGTCGAAATCCATCTGCGGTTTTCTTTCAGATATATCCGCATTTTTTGCTCCTGAGCTGTGCAAATCTTGAAGCAGACAATAAAATCTATACTGGGGTTCGCTCAGCTTGTAAAACATTGGGTATTGCTGGCAATTTGATAGGGTTTATCCCCGAACTTTGTTCTTCCCTTCTTAATAAATGAATAAAGGAATGCGGGATTTAGCGAAGCAAGGAGGTTTCTTCTTTTAACCCACAAGGTTGTCGTTACATTTGGTTGACAGGGGTGATTTCGATAAATGTGGTCCTCGTTTGAGACGGGAAGAGATTCCGTGCATCATGCCGGAAGCATTCTGTATCTTAACCGGGTAAGATTTGAGAAATCCCTTCATCCTGGAAGCCGAGTTGAGAGGCGGCTGTCGAACTACGGACTGAGTCGAATGAACTCGTACCATGGCGGGCAAAACAACCGCGGTGTGATGGATCACGTAATGGACACGAGTGGACAGGGTCGTGGCCCGCGACTGCCGAAACCATTCATTGCCGAGATTCCTTGGGTCAATGGACAATAAATCTGGGGACAGTCTTGATGAATCATTTGCTGGGTTCCAGCGCAGAGAAGCCTGTGCCTCACGACTCCGGCCTGCGTCTCGAGCAGTTTCTGGGTCTCCGATAAGCAAGTCCTACTTACGAGCTGGAATTATCCCGGGACGAACCCACATCGTTTCATAGATGAGCTTGTTCTTTACCGCACGAACCCTGTTTTTACTTCTGCTGCTCTGGCGAATATTCGACAAAAATTTTCTTCGGGAAATCGGACGCGACCTCGATTTGGCAGCGGGTAATGCCGGTGTCCGCGAGGGTTTCCGGAAAAGAAGGAAAATTCAGAACTCGAGTTCATTCGTCATCATAGAAGAATAACGAATCCTCTTATGCAGGAATGTCTCTGCGGTCCCCCTTCTTTCGGATTCGAATTGCTGATTCGCATCAAATATACGACGGTCAATTGGTCGACAGATGTACTGCACTGCACTTCAGAGCAAGAAATTCAACTTAATTCATATTCATGTCTGTTGAATGACAAGCATGAAAATCTACTGCAAAATGCTGAAAAAATTAGGATTTCATTGTATTTAAACAAATACTCGTGCAAATGCTGCCATGATTTTCCAACGTGTGCTCCGTGGCGGTCGAGGTTAAACTTGTTTTCGATTTTTCCAAATCCATAAAAAAAGTTATCCTGCCCTATTATCTTTTCTTGCTCCATCCTTAGGGTCTTCATAATGAACTTTTTTTTCTATCCCCTGCAGGGTCTGAGTGCTGTAAAGCTTTTAAAAAATTGACCCACTTCCTTGAGAAATCAGCAGTGATGTCTTTCAAAAAATTAACAGATTGGCGAGAAATTGCCAACGTATTCCGTCCGAAAACCGCACTGTGGCTGTAGAGGGAGTCCAAGGAGTCAAAGACGGCTGAGAACCCGTGCCGTGTATGTAGTGTGATTTAGAAAGTAGCTGCTTTGCGGTTGATGGCAAGGCGTCGCGTTTTCGCGTGTTGATCACATTCACCGTACCCATGGTAATGTTGTTGCTGTATTAGTGTGGTGGGAGAGGAGGCATTGAAGCACGCGTCGCGTTCTGGACCACGGAACCAGTTACGAACTGACGCCCGGACCTAACGGCGAACCCAGGCGTCTTGTCGGTGCGGATTGGAGATGTATGATAAATATTGTACGGAACAACAGGGGAATGACTGATTCGCAGCGCTCGCGAAATCGCCCCAAGGCCTGCACGCGTCCTGCAACCATTCTTGCGTGAAGCATCACCGGAGATCGGGGAATTCGTCCACGCAATTTGCCCTAATCTCCATGGAAATTAACTTATGCCACCACGGGCGGTTTCTCCGGGTGTTACTGCAAGAGCTGAATGAAGAAGGCCGAAGTCGAGTGCCCCGACGTCTTCCGGCACCCAGCGAGAGGAAGATGAAGCTGAGTGTGGCGTTCGCAATTACACGCGTGCTATTTCCCTTGGCAGCCGAATTACGAATCTCGCTTCGTGGTTCATATCCAAATTTCGTTCCACGCAAATCGCTTCTGACCGACTATAGGCTAAATGCGATTCAAAAATCACCTGCTTTGGATCCACGATAGGCTCCGTACCGTTTCATTCGTCAAACCACTCATGTATCATTGTTGATTGCTTTACGATGCATGACATTGCTGACTGTTCTCTGTAGGAAACATTTTCGAAGACGTCGAGTTTAATACTGTCCGCTGTTGACATTTTTCTTTTATATAGAGTGACAATTTCCCATGAAAGAGAGCTCCCAAAAACTTTAGTGCGGCTTTTACGAATATATTCGAGTTTTAGGCCGCAGCTCTAATCGTAATGTGCGCCTATGGTTGAAATATTCGCCAGATCAAACTATCATTCACTATGGACTTTGTTTTCGTATTCAGTTCGGACAAATTTAAATGACATCCTTAGTTTAATCCAACTGTCCCTTGTCAACACCACGAGTTGAATTAAGCACAGGTCCTTCTTTCTTCACTTGATCGTTCCTTTTTTAGATAAATTATTACGTTTTTCGTATACGTACATGCCAAAATCCTCTCGGGAATTTGTTCCTTGTGTTTTTTTCGCAGTTCAATTACTGGACAAAATCAGGATGCGATTTTAATACAATAGTAGCTTGATCCAGCGCAGCACTCATTTTTCATTGACATTATGTAAAGTTTTCAAAACAGATTGATGAGTTTCCTTTCCGTGCAATGCTTTCAACGAAAATTTTCTTGACTTGCATCGTACTAATGGGCTCGAAGCTCTGATGGAATGTTTTAAAATCAATTTTCAGCAATGAAGAGCTAAGGTCAGTCTTTGTGTGCGTCTCGTTTCCATGCGTGTTTCAATTTCAAATGACTCTTGTCTCTTCCCCTTCAACTCAAATTGGACCTGTCGTTGAATCAACGCGTGAAGATTCATCAGTCAACGTTCGCAACGAACCGTTTTTAGTAGCAGTTTCGTTTGAGTCACGGCTTGTGCTTGGCTCGCTAAATTATTCTTCCTTCGAGGGTCGAGGCTTCTTTGTTTTTTAGGGACAATCATTTTTCCGTTCGTTTTCTACTGAGATCTGCAGGCCGCTTGGGTGAGTGGGTTGGAAAACCTTTGTTTTCGAGACCACGATTTGACGCCCTGCTGAGGTGTTGGTTATGTTGACAGACTTCGACTGGCTCAGGTGACGTGGTTATACATTTCGTCGAAATTCGCCAGTCGTCGACGAGGTCGAGTGCAAACATGAGCTGTGCCCGGTTAACGATCCGTACGTGCTGTCGAATCCGATCGGCGGGTTTGATTTCGGTCCGAAACTTTTCGATCGGCAGATCAATGAACTGTGGGTCGTATGTTTCC